GCACACACACACACACACCTCTACCGACCATCTTTGACTTCAGTGCCAGGGCCTTGCTAAAGAGGGTGCTAGACCCCTCACTAAACCCACATTGGGCTGTTTCTACCTCTATTTTGCAAAGACTTTTCAAAACAAGTCTGATAAACGTGGTCTGGAAGGGAAGTGAGTGCTGGAGAGGTTGCATGGTCCTGTTGAACCGATTAGGGTCCCCCGAGGGGTCTTTCCTGCTGGAACTGGTTCACCGGGGAAAACTACATGGGGCACATCACAAGGCCAAGCATCAGGCATGACTGACTGTGACTCCTGGAGGAAGGTTAGGTTTTTATCCCTCATCTGCCACGCTGATCCACAACAACAATGGGAAAAGGAGCTAGGAAGATGCTGCCCACAGAGTGTCCTAACCACTAGCTTACTTGGCCGTCCCATCTCAGCTGAGTGATGTGGGGACCCAGCAGAGGAGGAAGCAGGGAAGGAGAAGCCAGAAGTCTAATCGTAGAATCATAGAATCATAAATGTTGGAAAGGATCTTTAAGATCGTCAAGTCCAACCTACAGCCTACACCACCCTAACACTAAACCATCTCCTGAAGTGCCACATGCAACTGTTTTTTAAACACGTCCAGGGTTGGTGACTCCACCACCTCCTTTGGCAACCCATTCCAGTGCTGAGGATCAGAAGAGGCAGGGGGTGAAGTCAGGCCACCAAGGAGAGGAGAAGCCCAGAGAGGAGCATTTCATCCACATATCCAAAACTTGATGCTACAGCACCTGCCCGATATCACTAAGTCCTTGTCATCTTCCAGCCAGGGGGAACACAGAACAATTGCAGAACATGGGTACTGCCTTATGCCTGTCCTGTGCTGCCATATCTTCAGTGCTCCTTGGCCTCACATCATCCTGGGGTGTCCAGAGAAGTCCACAATGTGCTGTAGTCTGCAGGGACATGTTCTCCACTCACCCGTGGGATGGAACTGCAGGAGTCTGTGGATCTCCTGGCCTCACAGGGCTGTGAGGACCTGGGAAGGGCATAGCCCATTGTTTAATGGATAGGACTTGAGGCTGTCCCAGCAGTGGTAATTTTACCAGCTTTGCCTTCACCCTCGGTGCCTGGGGACCCCAAACTCACAGAGCCCTACACCGAGATTCAGCTTCGTTCTCCACGGGGATTTCCTGCAAGGGACAACATCTCCGTTCCTCTGGGGTGAAAAGCAGTTCCTTTCCCCGTGTTGGCAGGGATCAATAACAGCCCAGGTACCCAAGCAAATTCCCCTGCTGCAAGGACATCAAACCCGCCGGCGCAGGCGGTGCAGCTCTGCGGTCCCGCAGGAAGAGCCGGGGCACCGGCTGCGGGTGCAGGAACGGTCGATGAGGCCACCGGAGAGCCCGAGGGGAGCGAGGGTCCCCGCACAAAGGCCCTTTTCCTGCGCAAACGGAGCGGTGTCCTGATGGTTCCCGCCCCCTCGGGGGACAGATGCCCACCCGGAACCTCCGCTTTTGTCCCCGCTAGGGATTGCGGGACCTTTCGGCTGCTTCTCCACCGGGGCTCTCCGCTGAGAAGTCGCTCTTAAAAAAAGGGCGCTCCGTTTCTCTGACGGCGAAGCCGGGCTGCTGGCGGTTGCAGGGCTGGCGCTGACCCCAGCCATGGCGGGATAACGGGAGGCCGGGTCCACCCTTCCCGGGGCGAGCACCTGGAGACAGGAGCTGAGCCCAGGCGCCAGCCGGATATTCATATTCACCTGTAGGCGTACCTATAGGTGCATGTAAATACTTTTCTCCCGCAGACTTGCGCATGGAGAGGGAGGCGTGATCGGAAGGGAACAATGTTTTCAGCCCAGCTGGACTCCAGATGTACCTTTAGTTTCGCGGGGAGGGCCGAGAGAGCCCTCAGGACAGGGGTGCCCCTCACCCTGTACCTCCAGGGCAG